TCCCAGGGTCTGTCATTCCGGGTTGGACCCCTAAGCAACCCAGGGCAACAGCCAACCAGACACACACCCAAAACACATTTTAACGATCTGAGAGACACATTTTTTTCATACTTTAATATCCCTGAAATTTGGGTATACTTTACAACTGATGGTTCAGTCATGCAGTTTAAGTACTGCTTTAGTTTTATTATGGGTTCATTAAAAAATGGTCTTTTACTCGATGAAATATTGTATTGAAAAAACAAGATACTCAGTGAAAATTACACTCAATGAAAGAGCCAACAAAACTTACTAACAGCTGCATGTTACTCTGTTACTGTTGAATAGATATTTAGTTTGGGGGGAAATTTTTCTTAAAAAATGACACCATAACATGATCTATAAATGATACAGCCACTTTGGAAAAGTTTGACAGTTTGTTATAAAGATAAAGACATACTATTTACCTCACATGACCCAGCAATCTCACGCCTTGGCATGTACCCAAGAGAAAGGAAAGCAAAAACCTGTGTGCGAATGTTCTAAGGCAGTGACCAATCAGAAACACGATGAGCGGGAGGCCCTGCTCTCTGGGAAGAGGACAAGCGCATAACCAAGGAGAGAAGCAGAAAACAGTGGAGTCGGGGTCCTGGGAGCTGGGAGAAATCCTGTCCCCAGAATGAACGCCGTCCCCGCCAATCTAAGGCTAAGAACTTAGCTCCACCACCAGATAACGCAGCATGACTCTGTCCCCAAGACCTGAACGTCTAAAACATGTCGCTTCTCCAAGCCTGAGGATCTCCCTGCAGCACGAGCCATGCAACCCAGCACGGTTACATGTCGCTTCTGCTCTGCTGCCCCAAACTGTCTCTGCTCATACGTCGTATTGCCCATTAAAGGAGCTACCTGAGGGACGGAGAGAAATAAGGGAATAAACCTAGCAGACGACACGGTCTCTACCACGCCGGCCAACAGTGTTTTTTTCCCCCTGAATATGGTACCTTAAATAAAAATTCAAATACAAGTTCAATCTTTACTATCTCTACTATTTCACAATGTCATTTAACATTTTATGCCTAGGCCCTATTCACCCCAACAAAAAACATAAACTCCTTGAAGGAAAGAACCCTCATTTTTATCTCTTTGTATCAGGCACTCAAAAAGTTTTATCTACTTTGTAGCAGGAATTCAAAAATACATTTCTTGATTAAAAGCCTATAATTACATATTATACCGCAAGATTTTTTAAGAATTGAGATGAGAAAAACCAGTGAGGACTAAAAAATATTAAAGAAGTCAAAGTCTTCAATACGAGGCCTCTTTGTACAGCCATGAGCCGTCCTGAGCAGGACAATAACCAAATCGAGGTGGTTGCAGGAAGCCTGCTTCTGACGTAGAGGTGAGTGTCAGGCTCAGGGAGCCAAGAGCCAAAAGGTGGGACACAAAACAGGCAGAAAAGTGAGACTTGAAAGGATGGGCTGACAATAGACATGTTTTTAAAGAAGATTCTGACAGAACAATGACTGACTAGTTACAGCAATTTTTTTTTTAAGCCAAAATTTCCAAGGCCACCGGGACTTGAGCAGACAGGGGGACGGGCTGAGTCGGATGCTGATGAAGGTGCTAATCTGATGGCTGGGGGCAGGCAAGGGCTTCCAGAAGACACTGTAATGTTGCCGCATGCTTTTAGCTTGAACCTGTTCAGGTTTGACATTTCAAATTATTATAAACTGTGTTTCTCGATTCAAAGATCCATATTTATAGTTTGTGAAACCAGGATGCATCTTCACTGTATAGACTCAATGTCCTGGCATTTCTTTTACCTCAGAATAGTTATAAATCTAAGGCCCTTCTTACATCACTGGCATCTAATAATCAAGGACAAATAATAGTTTCACTATATTAATCAACTTCGCATACAGGAAACTCTCAAAGTATCGATAACCCTATATTATGACACTTGACTGTTCAGGAAAACATGAAAATCAAATACAAAGGTACGTACCACTTTCTTTCCAGAAGGTTCCCAGAGAGAAATATCTCCCCATGATGTGTTATAAAAGTACTTCTCTCCTGGATCAAAGCTTTTAAGGTCCTTTAAAAAGGAAGAAAAAGAAATCATTATGCAATTTCAGAAAATAAATATTTAATTAGAACTTGATGGGATGACTTGACACCTGAGATACCTACACAAGAAAAATGAAATGAAAATGCAGCCCATGAGCAAACTGTGAAAGAACCCCACCAAGTGTGAGAACTAAGGGAAAGGTTGAAATAATCCAACTTAAAAGTACAGTCTTATAAGAAATAAACAGATAACATTTCCCACAAATAATTTTTGGGAGTGAGAAACAGCACAAGCAAACAGCATCTTCCACAGGAGGCCAAGAGGCTTTCGAGGTTGGGGGGGCAGGGGTGGAGCATGAGGCAGAAGCTCCGGGTGTGGGCCTGACAGGTACACCAGGCATCCGCCATAGGGAGGGTGACTTAGGGTGACAGGGGTGAGGAGACCGAAGGGATGAAGTCACCAGGAACCGAACAACCAGATGCAGCAGGGTCCAGACTGAGCCCTGGTTCATACGAACCAAGTGTAACAAGTATTTGGGGTGAAACTGGAGAAATGTGAATGTGAACTGGGTAACAAGATGAACGTTCAATGACATGAAAAGGTCAGGGAATAAAGGAACTGAAAGCAAACGAATAAAAAAAGCATGATCGACATGAACTCACTGTGGTAAAGACGACACACAGATATGTGCATTTACACACACACACAGAAGGCTAAACAATAAGATGCTAAGAGTGGTAACTTCTGAATAGTAGACAGTGGCATTTAAAATTTTTTTTTCTAAAGAAATTATTACTTGTATTTTCTCTTTCATAGTTTATATTACTGTTTTTATAATAACTAAAGGTTATTTTTGTATATTAAAAAATGTTAGTTAAGCCAGAGTCAATTAATACAACAATTGCCTTTGAATGTACCTATGCTAATATGTTGCTTACCAAGTCAATTGAGAACTAGAGAAAAGTATGAATTATTACAAAGATTTAAATTGGAAATAATGTACGGTGAAGCTTACAGAAGTAAGTAACACATACAGAAGTAAGATGTATTATGAAGAGATGCTCTACATCACTAGCTATTAAGGAAATGCAAATCAAAACCACAATGAGATACCATCTCACACCTGTTAGAATAGCTATAATCAACAGGATAAGAAGTAATAATGAGTGTTGGAGAGGATGTGGAGAAAAAGGAACCTTCATACACTGCCGGTAAGACTGCGAATTGGTACGGCCACTATGGAAAACAGTATGGAGGTTCCTCAAAAAACTAAGAATTGATCTACCATGTGATCCAGCAATCCGTCTACTGAGTATTTACCCTAAAGACTTGAAAACCCATATCCAAAAAGATATCTGCACACCGATGTTCATAGCAGCATTATTCACAGTGGCCAGAACATGGAAACAACCAAACTGTCTTACGACAGATGGCTGGATAAAGAAGCTGTGATACATATATACAATGGAATATTACTCAGCCATAAGAAGGGATGAAATACTGCCATTTGCAACAACACAGATGGACCTCGAGATAATCATGCTAAGCGAAATAAGCCAGACAGAAAAAGTTGAAAACCACATGATGTCACTTATATGTGGGATATAAACCTAAAAGCAACAAATGAACAGGACAAACAAACAGAGACTCATGGACATGGACTATAGACTAGTGGTTACCAGAGGGGAGAGGGGGAAGGAGGGAGGTAGATGGGGTAAAAGGGATCAAATATACGGTGACAGAGAGAACTCTAACTATGGGAGGTGAACACAATGCAATATATATATGCGCCTTACTGTTAAATTGTACACCTGAAACTTACTGGATTTCATTAACCAATGTCACCAAAGATGGGAGGGGAGGAGAGGGGAGGGAAAAGGGCAGCGACAGCACCATAAAGGCTAGAAGGGGAGAAGAGCGCACATAGCTGTAACGTTCTTACAGCACGTGTGAAGCAAGCAGTATGTGTTAGAATGATAAACAAAAGCATACAGCTCATGAACCACCAATGGAGATAAAATGGAATCATAAAAAATACTCAATTCAAAAGATAGCAGGAAAAGAATAACCAAGGAACAAAGAACAAATGAGACAAGTAAAAACAAACAGCAAGATGGCAGATTTGAAGCCAGCCCCATCAACCATCATATTAAATAACTGGGGTTGGTACACTTTTTCTGTAAAGAACCAGATAATAAATATTTAAGTATTGCCAACCATGCGATCTCTGACACAATCCCACCGTCATGTGCAAAAGCAGTCAGAGACAACATGTAAATATTAAGCAGATATTAAGGCTGTGTTCCAAGAAAGTTTATTTAAAAAACAGCCAGCCAGATTTGGCCCATATTTTAGGCCATAGTTTGCCTAACCTTGGTCTAAATGTCTCAAATTAAGAGACGGTCAGTCTTGGTAAAAAAACAAAAAACAAAAAACAAAAAAAACCCAAGATCCAATTATATGTTGTCTACAAAAATCTCGCTTTAAATATAAAGATGTAGACAGATTAAAGGTAAAAAAATGAAAAAAGATATGCCATGCTACCACTAATCAAAAGAAAGCTGAAAGAGTCATACTAGTATAAAACAAAGTAGATTTCGGCGGGGGGCGGGGGGTGGTGGTGATGTTAACATGGATAGAAAGTCATTTTATGATGATAATGGGGTCTTTTGTCAACAGAACAGAAGAGTGCTAAATGTGGATGCACCTACAGTTTCAAAGTACACAAAGCAAAAACTGATTGAATTGACAAAAAATAATTAAATCTAAAATGACAGTTGGAAACCTCAAGACTGCTCACTCAATAATCAGTAGAATTAGTCCACACACCAGGAAGGACAGAGAACACTAAACATGGTCAACCAACATGACTTAATGGACACTCAAAGAACGGACACTCAACACCACCAAAGTATACATTCTTTTCAAATACACAGGGTACATTTACAAAAATAGATCTTATGCTGAGCTATAAAATAAGTCTCAATATATTTAAAAGGACTGAAATAATTACGAAGTACAGTCTCCAACCAAATCAGTATTAAATAAATCTATAATAAAAAGGTATCTAGAAAAATCCCCAAATTTCTAGAAATTAAACAACACACTTCTAAATAATCCATGGATCAAAGAAGAAATCACAAAGGAAATTAAAAAAAAAATTTAAGCTGAATGAAAATGAAAACACAATAAATCAAATTGTTGGATGCAGCTAAAGCAGAGCTGGGGAAATTGATGGCATTAAACACTTAGAAAACAAACTAAAAGATATCAATCTAAACTGCCACCTTAGGAAACCAGATAAATGAAACCAGATAAATGAACTTAATAAACCCTAAACAGAAAAAAGGAAAACATAAAAAGTAGAAATAAACGAAATGGAAAGCAGACAAGAGAGAAAAATGAGTGAAACCAAAACCTATTTCATAGAAAAGACTGGTAAAATTGATTAAACTCTAATCAAACTATACAGGAAAAGAGAGAAGACTCCAATTACTAGAATCAAAATGAGAGAGAGGACATCACTACAGCTCTTATAGATTAGGAACTAATGTGAACAACTTTATGCCAATAAATTTGACAACTTACATCGAAATGAACGAATTCCTTAAAAGAAGACAAACTATCAAAGTTCAACTCAAGAAAAATTATATAACTGACAGCATGATGTCTAGCTGAATGCATAGTTAAAAAACTTCCCACAAAGAAAACTCCAACTCTAGATGAGACATTATGAAATGAAAACTATAGACCATATCCCTCATGAACACAGATACAAAAATCTTTAACAATAATTGTGAAATCAATCCAACGTATCAAAAGGATCAAATGGAATTCATCCCACGGATACAGATTGGTTTAACAATTTATTTTTAAAAAACAGATGCAGAAAAATCATGTGACAAAATTCGACATCCAGTCATTCATTGTGTTTGCCCTCAGCTAAGTAAGAATAAGGAACTTCCTCCACCTGGAAACAGGACCCCAAAAACGTGCAGCTACAACCACACTGTGTGGTGACATAAGGAACAGCGCTACTGCTACTGCAAGCTTTACTTCAAAACTTCTTTAAAAACCAACATGCTCAGGTGTTGGTAAGGATGTGGAGCAACTGAGATCCTCGCGCACTGTGGGCAGGAGTATAAAGGCACACAACTAGTTTGGGTAAAGGCCTAGCTACTTTCTATCAAAATGAACATACAGCCTTATGGTTCCACAACTAGATATTTTTTCAATAGAAATCAAAACACATCCACAAAAATACTTTCATAAGCGTATTCGTGAGAACAATCTTATTCATAATAACGAAAAATTGAAAACAACCTAGGTGTCCCGCAGGAGAAAGGATCAGCAAACCAATCTGTTCCTGGAACAGAATACTTCTCAGCAACAGAAAGGCACCCACGCATGCAGCACACAGAGGAGTCTTCCACGGGAGCACATTATTCCATTGACAC